TATATATATATATATATATATATATATAGTTTGTTACATAGGGAACAAGGGGAGGGAAGCGACCGGTATACTATACCCTACGTGGTATGCCTGCCGTTCGCACCACTGAAAGGTTCCGCCTTTTTGGCTAAACTAACCTCAGCTGATGCACGAAAATAAATAATTTGCGTAGCAAGTCTTACTATACAAAGCAATTGGTAGGGCGTAGTTAGTTGTATAAGGTATCCCTCAAATGGTAAAGCGCACTGTTACCTTCACGCGCTCGGGCTACCGCTACACTTGGGCCGCTCTTCATGCTCCCATTATTCATTATGTTACTTGGTGTAGACTGTGTTTGTCCCCTCTGGGGGCGTGCCAAACGATCCGCGACCCGGTCATCATCCAGAGCCTGGGAGGATCACCTTTTGGTGGTGATTCTTGCATTTACAATCACAGAGAGGGCAGGGGCGTAGTCTATGCAGTCAATTCAGCAAAGAAACTCTTGAGTGAAACGGCGCAGCCTCGTGCTAAGAGCCTACAATGTGGATGGCCGCTGCACCTAGAGGCATCCATCAGCCTTAGGACAGCCTCTCTGATGGTCGCGTTCCTGTTTCCTCTTTCTTCTTTACGTCTATAAGGGCCTTGTCGAGCTCCAAGACAACCCGCGCTAGGGCCTCGGGGTGGACACCTTGTTGCAGCATTTCGAACAAAATCGAAAGAGATGATCTGTCTAGTCCTGTGTTGAGAATGTTTGAAATATCCATCAACAGATCTTCTCCTGAAGCCGCGCTGCTGTCATCAGACAAAGCGTGGGCCATTTTCTGTCGGGGACCAGTGCAGCACCGAGGAGCTCATACCGGCCAACCAGACCACCGCTTGCCACACCATGAATTCGTGAGTTTTTGAGAGCCCAGTTGTAAAACTACAGGCGTTTAAGAGAATACTTTTTCTAACACTATGAAGCTTGTGGAACAAGAGCACAGCAAACTGTTGTTTATCGCCAGCTGTTCCAGCTGAATATCAGCGAAGAAGAGAGCAGCTGGTGGGCACAAGGGGAACAATAATTTTATATTCTTTCATGGATTGTAAAAACTGCCAAACGGACAATTTTGTGGCAAAATGAATGAGTTAACGCTCCAATAGCGGCTTGATGCCTGCCAGCATGTGATTTGCATGCACTGCTGCCGAAACCGCATGCAGGTCTCCTATGCCTGCAGGGAGACAAACAAGGCGGCGTACACACATCCTTCGAAAAATACTTCTGAAACAAGTGTTCTAAACAAAGAGTTTGGGCAAAATGATGGAACAAGCGTGCTTAGCAGACAGCACAAAACGGCAAAGGGTTTCGGGGCGTTTTACGGCTGAACGACCGAGCGGTCGCTCTAAAGCGTTGCAATTAGGCAGCAGTCCGTTTGGGCGTGGGTTCGGACCCCACTTCAATCATTCCGTCAATACTCATGCACTCCTTTGTGCACAGACGCACGCTTCATGCATGCGCATTCAACGGATCCCGTTCAAGCCCACTGCGTTGTTGCATGTAGAAACCCGCCACCTCTGTAGATTACAATGCTCAATAAGTGGACAAATATATCTGTTTATATATGCCATACATGCATATACATGACAACCCACTGACGACTTTTCATTTTATGGGCACGCAAGCCATGTAATGAACATCGGTGGCGCACTCGCGCCTCTAGAACCGCCTGTAGAGAGCAAACCCCTGAACCCTCTGCACTTTGCTTCATTTGGTATCCGCGCAGTATTTATCTATACATATATGCACTCATATGCATATACGTATTATCCGTTAGTGCTTTGTGAACGTGCAAAAGAATAATGCGCTGTATGGTCTTCGGCAGAATGAACTTATTACTAGAGGCCGCTGTCACTGCAACACTTAATTAATAATAACATATGGATATATTTATACATGCACATGTATATATCTTTACTTATACTATTGCTACCAATCCCTTGTCTTGCCTGCACTTACGGTGAACACGAACATAATCGACGTTCTGGCGAAGGCGTTCTTGTTGAGAAAAAATTAAAAACCGAATATTTACGGGCCGTCCACATGATGCACTATATTGTAGCTAACCTGTTGTTATAATTTCTTGGGCACCCATCATGATGCACTCTCCATCTGTCCCCGCCTGGTAGCTCTCAGACGAATTCCGTCTTTTGCCGATTCCCGCAACTACACTGGTTCCTAGGCTGTATACTCCGTGTGTGTTGTCTCGGCAATTCGTATCTCGTCTACAGTATACTGTACTGTATACTGTTTTTTACCGTAGATCCTACACAAGGATACCAAATATATGCATTTAGGTGTGTGGACCGAAAGGCTTCCTCTCCAAGACTATCTTGACGTTGTTTGCTACAGGAAATACTCTGCCTGAAGGATTGTTGCTCTCCTATTCACGCTGTCTACTACTTTCAAAGTTTCGCTGCATTCAACGCACCTATTCTACACATGTACAGCTCTAAAAATGAATCAACTGCACTTAGGCCTTCCTCTAAAACAAGCCAAGCAGCAAATCCAAAAAACTCCAAACCCTTTTCAAGCAAAGCAGGTTTTGGGGGGTCAAAAGTAGGAGGGGCAGCAAAAGCCGCACCAACCTCGGTAAACAAGCATTCCAAAAGAATGCAGAGAGCAGGGCGGTTGCAGACCCCATCACTATCCATTAAATAATAGATAAAAAGCAAATGCCTGGGCACAGACTGTCTACTAGGGGTCATTCCCAGTGCTGCCGGCAAAGCTCATAAGCATTTATTCACTAAAGCCAAAATTCAACCACCATGCGGTAATTTCACGTAATAAATGCATTACTCGGGATCAGCATAATGTAAACACCTTACGCTGGTGTACACGAGACAAAATGAGCCCGCTATACTGATGACATGTAAAAAACTACTGTAAGACAATTTAACGCCCTATATACCCCGGCCTCGCTTCACTCCTATGTCGTGTGCCCCACCACTGGCCTCAGCACAGGAACATTTCCACAAACTCTGCAGCAGCATATCAATGCTCTGCAGTGACTGACCTGCAATAATTGAACCACACCGAGGTCAGAAGACCGAGCAGCAATAATGCTCAAAATCCCCTTCTCCTCATCCACCTCCCCCAACGGCAAAATCCACTCTCCCCTCCCCTCATTCGAAAGTTGGGGAGCCAGGACTTGCCAACAGAAAAACAGAGACTCTTCCAGCCTATCACTTATTGTATCGTCAGTGCCGCGGTGGCGTTGTAGTTGTTGCAGTACCCGCGCCCTCCGGATTCCAAAATCTTGAGGTGGCCCGCCGTTGCGTGAGAAAAATGGGGGAAATGTACCCAAAACCAGAGGGTTCTTGAGGGGTTAAGGAAGGGGAGGATTCAGATGCTGCCGCAGGGCTAGACGAGGAGGCGGGTCACAGTCTTGAAAGTTCGTGTTCGCCTCCTGGCGGTCCAGAAGAGAAGGAACGACTCATTATTGCAGGTGGGCTTCCTGGAGGTGTTGGTGGGCTGCCGGGTGTTGCACTGCTGCTTCCTGTATCTGTGGGCTGCCTCGAACCTTCTGGACGCGCTTCTTCTTCTCCTCCTTCCGCTGGCCCAGTAGCCAAGGGAGGGATTGGTGGAGATGGCGAAGGGCTTGGCGCACTGCTAGGTACTGCACTGCTGCTTGGTATACCTGTAGAAAGTCTAACACCTTGTCCACGAAGTTCGTGTTCGCCTCCTGGCGGTCCAGAAGAGAAGGAACGACTCATTATTGCAGGTGGGCTTCCTGGAGGTGTTGGTGGGCTACCGGGTGTTGCACTGCTGCTTCCTGTATCTGTGGGCTGCCTCGAACCTTCTGGACGCGCTTCCCCGTCTCCTTCTTCTGCTGGCCCAGTAGCCAAGGAAGGGATTGGTGGAGATGGCGAAGGGCTTGGCGCACTGCTAGGGGCTGCACTGCTGCTTAGTATACCTGTAGAAAGTCTAACACCTTGTCCACGAAGTTCGTGTTCGCCTCCTGGCGGTCCAGAAGAGAAGGAACGACTCATTATTGCAGGTGGGCTTCCTGGAGGTGTTGGTGGGCTGCCGGGTGTTGCACTGCTGCTTCCTGTATCTGTGGGCTGCCTCGAACCTTCTGGACGCGCTTCTTCTTCTCCTCCTTCCGCTGGCCCAGTAGCCAAGGAAGGGATTGGTGGAGATGGCGAAGGGCTTGGCGCACTGCTAGGGGCTGCACTGCTGCTTGGTATACCTGTAGAAAGTCTAACACCTTGTCCACGAAGTTCGTGTTCGCCTCCTGGCGGTCCAGAAGAGAAGGAACGACTCATTATTGCAGGTGGGCTTCCTGGAGGTGTTGGTGGGCT